CACGTCAGCACCTAGGGATCAAGAAGACCCAGACTACCCCCCTTCACTTGCAAAGAAGGCCTAGTGGAATGCTTTAATTGGATCTTGGGATTCCAGCTGTCCCCTGTGGTCAGCTAGCATCAAAATGACTGAGACAAGCTGCTGCCTCTGGTGTTCCTGGCCTGTTGCATGGTGGTGCAAGAATCCACTACAATATTTAGGCAAAGGATTGACTGTTCCAGCTGCAGGAGACAATTTGGGCCTATGGTGCCAGAAAAGTCAGAGGCCTCTGTCCCAACCTCCAACCCAATGGATGGGGCCCCTCACAATGGAGCTATGTAGTGTTCCTCTCTGCTGGGTGTTAGACTGTGCTGTTACCCCCCTGCCCTTTCACTCTGGCAACTTCTCCTCCCCCACTGCTCCCTGTAAAAGGGGGACACCCCTAGCTTTCTGTCTCTTTCTACCACATAGTAAACTACAGAAGACTCCATTCCCCCTTCCTCTCTGTACCCCTAGCTAGTCTCTCTGCCAAGTGAAAAGAACAGTCCTGTAAATAAAAGGGTAATAAACCCACTGTCTTGTGAAGCTGCATACCTGCTCTCTGCCTCATCTGTGTGGCCATCCCACTACTGAACCAGGTTTGGGGCCGAATCACCACATTCTACATGGTAGATTGTACACCATTAGCTCCAATGTATCTTATACAGCCTTGAAAACCCATCAGAGAATAATACAATTCTCTTTTGCCATTCAGTCTATCTCTAGACAACATACAGTACTGAAAACACAGTGAAAACACTTGTGGAACCACCAGAGCTGAATGTTGATTTTCTGCTACTATGTTCAAAACAAATCACAAGTGTTTTTTAAGAGCGTTGGGTGGGCAGACTATTACAGACTTGGCCAGGATGAACGATGGCCTCAAGCCATCAGCTCAATTCTGCATTTAACCAGAATATCATGAAATGACAGTGAACCCGAAAACTGCTTCATGTATATCACTGAAGGTGAAAGAAACATGTAACTCTTGTGAGCAATTGTTGTGAGTGTACCTTTTGGGAAGAAATATTTATGTAATACTCATCATGACGATCGCTCAATGATCACATCACATCATTCCATTGTTTTTAAGCATTGAATACAGCCCTGACCCTCCAGAAGTTAACGTAAAACATTCAACCTATGCTTATCTAACAGTCATCATCTAATCAATCCAAACTGTCTTGTGAGAAAACATCCCCTAATTACGGTAATGACATCGAAACAGCTTGTGTCACATTGGGCAGCTTGTGTCACAATAGTGAATAATAATGTTTCACAGTAGTGGCAATCTGCAAATACTGCAGTCAACTCTGTCACCTAGCAATTGTAAAGATTTTAAAGACCCTCGTGCACTCAGAGCCAACACCACATCCTCAGACCAGCACAAGACGGCTTAAAGAAACTAACAAGGTATCACTGTCTATTTCAAAAATGCACATTACAAAAAAACAGTGCACCCTCACAGTAGAGCAGGTCCAGGTGGAGTTTTGGTAAGAAAGGAAGTCTTGGAAGAGATGACATATCTAGGTTCCTGCACGTTGGTATAAAAGATAGGGCGGAGCCATGGCTCTGTGCCTGTGACTGGAAGGTTGCTGGTTCAAATCCTGCAGCTGGCAGAGGAATCCTACTCCGTTGGGCCCCTGAGCAAGGCCCTTAACCCCAGCTGCTCCAGGGGCGCCGTACAATGGCTGACCCTGCGCTCTGACCCCAAGCTTATCTCCCTGTCTGTGTCTCCATAGAGAAAAGCTGGGGTATGTGAAAAGATGAATTCCTAATGCAAGAAATTGTATAGGGCTAATAAATAAACATTACATTACAAGAGGAAACCACCCAGTGCATAAAGCAATCGCACAAATACTTATCGCACATAGAGGAATATTTAGATGTGTGACTCATAATCTTAAATCTGTGTGTAGGTTGGTTTTTGTTTTTATTTCCAGTCTGGAAGCTAAAAATTGCTCCCCAGGAAGAATAGGAGCCATTAGTAACTCCCCTGGTGGATAGAATGCAATTGGTCAGCAGACAAACTTCTATCCCTTTAAAATGCCACAGTTATCTCTATTTGCACATTATTATTAAGATTTTAGGCTTTTAAAGGCTTTTAAGGCTTTTAAAGGCTTTTTAGGCCTTGTTTTGTCCTGTTATTGATCTGCTTGTGTTTAAGGCGTGTGTTGTTATATTCTAACTTTTTGGTAGGTCAATCACATCTCCCCTGTTGCCCACAGAATCTATTCTTTTCACTGGGCATGCTTTGGCTTTGTTTCCTGTGTTTAGGTTTGAGGAGTGGCACTGGATGTTTGGATCAGGGCTTCCAGAAACCTTTCCTTGTTTTGCTCCGGTCTTTCTCCTCCTCTCGAAACAAGCTCCATTTTGAGGAATGTTTTAATTGTTCATGCGAAGGAGTCCTGTTTGTCCCCTTTCTTGGCCTGTGAGTGAGTTATTAGTGAAACGGAGCTTACCATATCTGAATGTACACTATCTCCATTTATTTGGCTGAAGTAACTATTAGAGTCTCTCTCTCTTACGATCATTTGTGTTATAGCCTAGAGCTGGGGTTTTCAACCTTTTTGACATCCGCCCCCCCAGCCCAAAACCCATTGAGACAACAACGCGAACACCCTCGTCACACTCACTCACAATATAATTGATATTATGTATACACAGGAACAAGTCATAAATTTATTCCATGCCTAAAAAAGAAAACACAACGTTTCGGCTTAGGAGCTTTCTTCAGGTGTGAGCATTATGTATACATACATGTATTTCAGCACCTTTCATTAATTTGCTTTAACAGTCTCACGTTCACCGCTGTTGTTAACTTTAGCAGTAAGCCAACGGTCCATTTTTACATTTGTAATCGTGGTATAACGAAATGTCTCAATTCTGCAGTGCCTTCGCCAACGAGAATGGACGGCAGATAGCCTGCTTAGCCGCTCTTGACATGAACCAGGTTGCAACACCGCCCTCTAGCGGATGAATAATGAATTGACGACTGAAATGTTCGCTGCAGTTGTTTCATTCTTTTTCATTTCACTTGCGTGTCTGCGCCTAAATGTCTCGTAATCTCGCGCCCCCCTTGACAGGTGTAATGGGGATCCCCTCCACCACCACCAGTG